CCCACGCGAGGCGGGGAAGGGGCTGGGGTCTGAGTCGGCGTCACCCAGCTCCTCCTCCGGTGTCTCCTCCTCTGCGTGGGTTTTGTCACTGAGCAGAGTGACGGGTCACATCCTGATTGCTGCTGGCACCGAGCCTGTGGTTAGTGACCGGAGCAGAGCAGGTTTCCCTGTTTTAATGAGTGTGATGGATCTGGAGGAACTGGGCGGATTTGCCCGCTGTAGCTTTGTCCGCTGCTCTCCGGGGGGGTTTAAAGTGCTGGGTGTCTGTCTGCCTGGGCAGAGCCGCCGTCAGGGCTTCCGTGGGGATCCCCAAAGGGGGATTCGGTACTGGTCAGTAACTCAGGCCAGACTGGCTCCAGGGTGAGGGAAGGAAGAGAAGGGAAGCGGGGCTTTGATCACAGTGTCTGACCCAGCTTGACAAGATCCCCTCTGGAGGATAATGGGGTTCTGTAACCGAAGAAATCACTTTATCGGGAGAAAATGGGGGTGTGGGTGACAATGCCATATGCACACAGGGAGATTTCAGCTACTCCCCGTCTGGTTTGTAGCTTTCTGTAATTGCTGGTCGTTTGTGAGTCTGTGTGAAATTCCAGGAAGGCTGGAAGAACAAAAAGAATTGATCAGTCTGAAAATAAGATGGTTTGCACTCAGTGTAAGATACTCCGGGGCAGCTTGGGCAGCAGCGTCAGTGCTGTTCCGATGAGATGCCTCTGTCCAGGATTTATTGTTCCCTTCTGATGGTTGAACTGAGCTTTTCTCTCTCTGTGCTTCTCTCCCTTGCAGAGGTGGAGCAGATTGAAGCCATAGCGAAGTTTGACTACATTGGGCGGTCTCCACGAGAGCTCTCCTTTAAGAAGGGGGCCTCGCTCCTCCTGTACCATCGGGCATCAGAGGACTGGTGGGAAGGGCGACATAACGGCGTGGATGGCCTCATCCCCCACCAGTACATCGTGGTGCAAGACATGTGAGTGGGGCGGGGCGTGCTGATCGAGGCTGTTAAAATCACGCACACGAGGTCCAGCTTTAGCCAGTTCAGACAGGTGGCCGATTTTCCCTGGTGTAATGACTTCGGTGAGAAATCTGGGTCTGTTCCCATATCCCTCCCAATGAGGTTCTTTCTCATTCAAGCTGGTAGAGCCAAGCACTAGATACTGAACACCACCTACCATTGACTCCTCAAGCGACATGACCCAGGCTTCATGTCGGCCGTGCCCCGTGTCCGTTGATGCGGCGTTGTTCCTCTGGCCGGCCGGCAGACCCCAGGGTCCCTCGCAGATGCTGTTCCAGATTCATTACAATGACACCTGCTGCGCGGGGGCTATGAAGATGTAATGTTGGCTTTTGCCAAGCTCTGGGTGCTGTCTGAAGGGGTGGCCTTGGTCCAGCCCGTTGTTAACAACGTCTGGAGCTGCTGGAGTGCGATGTGCAGAGACACGTCGGGGGCCCCTCTCCTGGGCAGAGCCCCTTTACTGACGGGGGTCTCCTTTCCCCAGGGATGACGCCTTCTCCGACAGCCTGAGTCAGAAGGCAGACAGCGAGGCGAGCAGCGGACCGCTGCTGGATGACAAAGCCTCCTCCAAGAACGACATCCAGTCTCCGACGGATCATCTTGTGGACTATGGCTTTGGGGGAGTGATGGGCCGGTAAGGACACCGAGGTGGTTGTTGTCACGCATGGGAACAGGCAGTGTGCGGCGTAGGGCGAGACGGAAGGGAAGGCTCCAGCAAGCACTGCAGGAGAAAGTGAGCATGGAGGGGGTGTTTGTGTGCATGGCTGATGTAGATTGTAACGTGTCAAGGAGGTACGATGCTGTCCTTTTCTTGGCGCTGCTAAAATGTCTGTCTTCCCTCTCGCCTTAGCCTCTGGAGCTGGGAGCTTGGGCTGATCTGAGCTCTCGGAGCCCAGCAGTTGTCTTGCAGCATGCTACTAGACGCTTTCAATCTGACAGACGGTGACCTAGTCTTGTGATGGATTCTTTGCAGAGTGAGATTGAGGTCTGACGGTGCAGCTATCCCTCGCCGTCGCAGCGGGGGGGACACGCACAGCCCGCCCCGAGGGATGGCTCCTGCCATAGACACTCCTCCTCGAGCAGCGGCCTGCCCGAGCAGCCCCCACAAAATACCCCTAAGCAGGGGCAGGATTGAGAGTCCCGAAAAGCGCAGAATGGCGACATTCGGCAGCGCGGGCAGCATCAATTTCCCAGACAGGAAAGCCTTGTCTGATGGCCACCCGCTGAGACCGACCTGTGGATCGACTAGGCACAGTAGTCTCGGAGATCAGAAATCTCTAGAAGCAGAAGCGCTTGCCGAGGTAAGAGGGTTGGGAAGCGGCTCTCGGTCCCCAGGGGTCGAGAAGCTGAAAGAAGTCACCGGGGTAGCACGGCAGAGCCCCTTCCATCTCGCCACGTGCCAGGATCACGGCGCTGGTGTCGCTGCGACGGGGTAAAGATAAAACCGAGCAGCCAGCAGCTTGCCTGCTCCTCCAGCAGTAGCGGTTGGTCTAATAAAAGATCCTGCCTCCTTCCACAAACCTTGTTTCTCTGAAACAAGAGACAGAAACGTTTGATCCGCCACTGAAACGGGCTGGCAGCTCTCAGCTCCCGCAGGGAGGGACGCGCGTTATCTTCGCCTGATGCGCCATAAGGAGCTTAGGGGGAGAAAACTGGATCTGCCAGATCAGAACTTGACTGATGCTCAGTGTTTGGAGAAAAGTGCTCCAGGTTGTCACTGGCTGTTTGTAGGCAGGACCTCAAAACATCAGCCTAATCCCAATAGGATGCCTCCAGCCGTGCAGCACCATCAGTGTCACACGAGGCCACGGGATCCCTGGTGCTCGGTTCCAGGGTGTGGCAGGCTGCTAGGTCAGATCAGCTGCTGTCAGTGGGATAGTCACGATAATTGCAGAAAGGAAAACCTCTTCCTGTCCTGTTCGCTTTTCCACCAGCCACCTTCCTTGCTCTCTCACTCTGCAGCACGCTGCCCAGCTTCTCTGTCCATCGAGAGCTTGCGTTTGGTGTGACCAGGTACAACCCGTGGTTGTGGGGCAGCGCCTGCCCTGAGCGATAGCTCGAGCTGGGGCACCGCCTCTGCCGGGGGATGGGGGACAGCCTGCACCAGGTCCCCGGGCTGCTGGGTGGGAGCGTGGCCCCTCACAGCGGTGCTGGGGGCTGTGGTCCCCAGGTGTGGTGCAGGGCTGCGGGGTCTGGAGCCCCCGGAGGGATGGGGGAATGCTGAGGGTGGAGAACAACATGCACAATGTTCTTGGATTTTGGGTTTGGGTTTAGTTTAGTTTAGGGTTTTTTTTAACCTTGGAAAAGATTCTCACTCAGCTGATGTAAACACTCACCTTGAAGCCCCTCTGGCTGCTGGACCTGGGGAGGTGCCCAGCATGCTGCCGGGGGTTAGAACTCAATGATCTTCAAGGTCCCTTCCAACCCAAACCATTCCATGGCTCTACGGCTTAGTCATCCCGAGGCTTAGCTCTGGGAGAATATTTTCACTCATTATCAGAACAGCTTAATAGAATTAATTGGAGCCAGGTCGATGATTATTTCCCTTCTGCTGATCCTCTGAACACTCTCTGAGGCTCACTGAGCATTTCATACGCCTTTGAAAGTAAGGACTTGTCTACGCAAGGAGAGCTAACCAGAGCTGGGTTAACCAGAGATGGGTTCAGGTGCCTTAACTCCCTTTTCAGATGGTCTCTCTCTGCGTTAACGTGGCCCTCGTAGAGGTAAGGCGGATTTGAGCGAAGCAAACCGGGGCCTCTGTGTTTCTGAGCAGGCTCAGCCCTGCAGGTGGAGGCAGTTGGGCTGTTCCTTCAGTGGGCACTTGGAGGTGAAGTGGGCTCACCCGCCGGAGGGTCTCCGTGGCCGGACCGTGGAGGCTGTGACCCGAGGGGGCAGGTGGTGGGGGGGCCGGGGCTGGTGTCACCTCGGCTGCCTCCCCTCGGAGCTGGTGACCAAGCTCCTCTTGGCTTGGGAGACGTGGGGTGTCTGTGCGGCCAGAGCGGGGGGCAGGAGAGTGGGGCGATGCTGTGGCACGGCGCTGACACCCCCTTGTCATTGGCATTCGCAGGACATCGAGAAGACCATGAGCACGGCGCTGAACGAGCTGCGGGAGCTGGAGAGGCA